TGAAGTGCAGTGATGCAGTCATGGCTCACTAAAGCCTCGACCTCTTAAGCTCAAGCCATTATCCTTCCTCAGCTTTCTGAGTAGATAGAACTACAGAACTGCAGGTGCATGCTACCACACTAACAAATTTTTAAATTTTTTATAGAGACAGGCACTCACTGTGTAGCCCAGAATGGTCTCAAACTCCTATCTTCAAGTGATCCTCTCATCTTGGCCTCCCAAAGTGTTGGGATTACAGGCATGCACCACAGAGCCTGGCCTATATTCTTTATATCAGTTTTACCTATAAGTAGGGAAAAATTTAGTTCAACAATATTTCTACCTTCATATGATATTCTTCCTTTGTTCAATATCATTTAAACTTGACATTTTATGAAATGTTATAGGAATTTTATAATGTCTTTTTAATTACAGCATAATAAAGGAACTCAACAATTCTTCCTTTTTATCAATAATCAAGAAAAAAAATACACTGAGTAATTTTATTTTCTGAGACAGAGTCTCATTGTCACCCAGGCTGGAGTGCAATGTTGTGATCATGGCTCACTGCAATCTTGACCTCCCACAGCTCAGTTGATCCTCTCACCTCAGCCTCTTGAGTAGCTGGAACTACAGGTGCATGCCACCACACCCAGGTATATATATTTTTTTTTCTTTTTTTTTTTTAGTAATGGAGTTTCAACATATTGCCCAGGCTCATCTTGAACTCCTTGCAAAGAACAACTTGCCCACCTCAGCCTCTCAGAACTCCCGAAGTGTTGGGATTACAGGCGTTAGTCTTTATGCATGGCCGTATCATTTTTATTCACATTTATAAAGGATTTAAGATGATTAATTTATTAACTCTTGTTTATTGACCACATTAATCAAAAGTGAATTTGGTATTTTTAGAGTACAGAACAAAGGGGTAAAAGTATTTAGTTTATTGTAGGGAAGGTAAAGAGAAATAATTTAACTACCTTGAATTCTTAACATTTGCTTTGGCATTATTAGTCCAATATTCCAACTATGCTAAGCCATGTAACCAACAATTATCTGAAAAGCTTATTTTGACTTTTGACACACAATGAAACTGCAAGAATTTCTTTGTTGGGTCCAACTGTGCCGATAATCTGCTGATACACATGAGTGCAGTCATTTTGGTAGATTAGTTGTTTATGGTTAGTATCATAAACATATTGCTGTGCTATAATGACTGTAAAATAATATAATTCTTGGTCTGATGTACTGTTCACACAGTCGAATATTCTTATTAAAAAGTTTTTCAAACTAAAGTGTTTCAGTTGACATTTTTTTCAAGGTTATTATTCTTAGTTTTTGTGCTTTCTTTAAGAATATGACATTTACATAAAAATTCCCAATGTTTGATTCATTCATGTATTCATTGATTTATCAAACTTTTAATGAGCCGCTTTACTGGACACTGGGCTTTCACACTAGTGGAAAAGAGAAAATGTGAGCAAATATATTAAGTGAAAAGATATGTAATAATAAGACATGCATAATGCTCTATTGTCATGTGTAAATTTTTGCACTAAGGTAAGTACAAGCATTTAGTGAATTATTTTATTTTTAGCTTACATAATTATTTCGCTGGAAATGAGCACCATAAGTTTACTGTTTTGTAAAGCATCTCTTTATTCTTCCTTTTATTTCTATTATATTCACTAATCACTGTTGGAGGAGGTTCACCCAAAGTTCAAGGTATGTTTGTTGTTATCTACTCAATAATAATTCTTTTCTAGGTTTAATAATAACTATATTCACTGCATTTTCATTAACCTCTTGTTTTAAAGATTTGTTTTATATGCTAATATATATAGGTTTTCTGAAGGTCTTTGTATAGCTTATTACTATTCATCTGCTGTTGCACTGACCCAAAAACCTGAGCGTTATCAGTAACTCAAAATACCATTTGTTCACCTTATTTTTAGTAATATGGATATACTTTATGTGCATGTGTATGTGCAGGCAATTTTATAATGTTTTCTAGAAAAACCAAATTATTTTCTATTAAGAAAGTTGTTTAATGTTCAAAAGACTATTTTTTTTTTAATGTCCAAGTCAGTCTTATTTTCATGAGTATTACTTTTCCATTCCCCGACTTTGCCCAGTGCTTTGGTGATTTTCTTCTACTAAGCCAATTAACCTTTTTGTAGAATTATTTTTCCCACATATTTAGTCCTCCTGAGTTTAGCAGATTACACAGCCATATTTTCCATTACAAAAACCAAATTCTTTACCATAGTTGTGCAGATTATAAAATAATCTCTGTTCACTTAAATATATACATGGACAGCTAATACTCAAATATCTAATATGTATAAGGAATTATGAAAGCTTGTGCTATCTTACAAAAAGGTACCAATAAACTTGTATTTTAAAGGAATTCTTGAGAAATTATTTTTTGTCCCAACTAGGGATAGATAGGAAAAAAGTAAATTATGGAGGAACTATTAACAATGAATTCTGAAGGTTGGCTATTTGACCTTCAGAGATCATCAAAACCTAGATAAAAGACAATGTCATGAACAAAGGCACTGAGGCAGATAGCCAAAGGAGGATTCCTGGGTATGGGGAAAATTTATTTTAGCAGGATTGTGGAATAAGAGCAAACTTTCCATTGGAGACTTGCTTAGTTTGGGGTATACTGTAGAAAACCTTTTGTGTAAAGCTAGCAAAATCTAATTTTTTGAAGACAATTAAAATTTTGGATCATATTAATAAAACATTGTACAATTATTCATATTTTCTAAGTATATGAATAGAAAATGATTTTATTAAAAGGAAATGAATTATCAATTAAATAATTTACATGTATGAAGTCATATATAAATAAACATGCAGTAGTATTAGACAAAACAAATGTTAGAGCTAATGGATACATATTTACATGGCTAAGAATTAATGGCAGAAGAAAAATGCATTGTCATAAAATATTATGCGCAAAACCAGGAAAACAGCAGCTTTTGAACTATTACATACAACGTGCTGGAGAACCACAGAACACAGGGGAGAAGGAGATAATTGTAAAAGAGAGATGAATAAAGAAAAATAGATTTCAGGGATTTCATGAAAATAGATTTTGATGTGTTAAGCAATAGTGAATCTAGTTAGGTTTTTGAAGACATAACAGGAGACTGAACTTTATTTCATATGTTGACTTGCTCAAATATATGTGTGAATTCAAATAGTTCTGACTTAGAGTGAAAACTGCAAGTTGAAAACAGCTGTCTGTAGTTTCATGGCTCCAGATTCACTCAGAAATAATAATGGGGGTTATTTCATTGTAATAGAAAATGAAAGAAGATTGAAAGATGGTACTGAGGTAACAAGAGATTCTTCATCATCCACTGAAGTTTGTAGTAATTATGCTTGAAGAGAGATGCTTTTATTCTGCAGACTCTCTTTTCTTGGCACAGCCATGCCCTTTTCTTGGATCTAAGGTACTTGAGATTAACAAAGATGAATGTGGTCTCATTTTGAAACTTCACTGATGTGCATTCTGCTCAGAAATTTTTATGCAGTCTGACAAATCTCACTTCTTACAATCTGAGTTATTTTAACATATATCATTTTATTTTATCTCCATTTGACAGATTTTTAAAATGTTCATTCTTTAATTGGCATGTGGCCCAAATAAGTTGTATGAAAAAATAATAGAGAAGATCGTCAGAGTTTTTAATTAGGTCAAGTCAATTTTCTCTGCTTTTTCTTAAGCCAAGGGCATCATTATTAGAAAGTGTCTAATGTGATACAGGATTTCAAAAGCAGCACAATCAATGGCTTTTCCATTGTCATGAAATAATAGGGCTGAAGCTTAATTATATTTCAAAAATGAAAAGCAAAAATTTTGAGCCTCTTATCACAGGTTTTCTGAGGTTACAATTTATAAAAGTAGAGATAAAAATCAGTAGATTTTCTCCGTTTTGTGTACATTGTAGACTCATCAGCCCTTTGTTGTAAATGGCCTTAATGTTGTGGTAGTTTGATCCTGTGAAGTCATTATGACTTCAAATATGTAGATGTCATTTAACTTTAAATATTTTTTCTGTTTCTTTATTCACACAGAAAGCTTAATTGACCTGAAATGCTTTTCACTATACTGCTTTCAACATTGCATTTTGTTATATTTTTTTTACTTCAGAGAGTTAGAAACAATAGATACTGTAAAAGTTATATTTGTCTAAAATTCAGTTCATTAAAAATAATTTTCTGAATTTAGGTAATTTAAAGCTTTAATGATGTGTCTTTGAACACTGGTGGACTCACTATAATAAAATCCTGTATAGAGATTTGTTGTTTAAATATCTTCTTACCTACAATATCTCATGTGCTCTCCTTGTTATATATTACAGATTTTAGAGCCAATGTTACTTATTCTTGTTATATAGATATATAGATGTAGTAATTGGGGCTGACAATATTAAATGCTATGCCATGACTATACAACCTGATTAGTAAGTCTGTGTGTGTGTGTGTGTGTGTGTGTGTGTGTGTATATATATATATATATATATATATTAGAACTGGTGAAAGACACTGAATACCTTAAGACATGAAACCAGTCCATATGATATCTGCCTGTGAACATTTCAAACCAGATAGAGATCAGTGGCTTGGGAGAGAAATGAGAAGAGAAATCAAGACTCCAATCTAAAGAGAAAAGCCTGGTGAGAATTTTCAGTGTAGAACAAAGACAAGCCTATGTACCAAACAGAACTGCAGCTAGAGCTAATTGTTACAAAGGGTGGCATTTTTCAAGTGGCAGAATGCAAACAGAAGTTTGCCTCTCTGCTTTATTACAATATTAAGTGTAACTCCTCCCAAAAGAAAAGGAAGAAAGGAAAAAATTCAGAAATAAAGGAAAAAATTCAGAAAGAAAGAAAAAGAAGGAGAAAGAGAAGAGAAAAGAAGGAAAGAGGGAGAGAGGGAGGGAGGGAGGGAGGGAGGGCATTAGATTCCATCTGCCTTGCCATTCCCACCTAACTTCTTCCTACCTCATTGTGTCCAACTCCTGTGGATTTCTCTAACTTCTCTGTAGACACAGGCAGCAGACAGTTCCATCCTTTCATTTCTAGAATCATGAAGTAATATCCTAAAAGTAGACTGCAGTTTCTAAAAGGAAAGCTGTTATAATTAAAATAGTATTCCTTAAGATTTTGATAAAATGTAAAAGCAACTAGAAATGTCCATAATTTTAAATGTTGAAATAATGATTTAAACCCATAAAAATAAGACTATATAAATACATATCTATATTATGGATATGCATTTATTTTGAGAAGATTCAAAATAAAATCAAATATTTAAGATTTTTTTATGGTTCTATATATGTAATTACTAAAAATTAGGTAAACAAAATTCAGAGAAGCAAAAATGTCTGTATAAAGGTTGCCACTTTAATTATTAAATTAACGTCACAATTCTGTGTCTGTTTAAAAGACTTATTAAACAACATGAATTAAAAGATACAGTAATAAAAAATATTTTATTTTAGACCTACATTGCCCTTTAAAATCATAAATGCTAAATAAATTCTTAGCTTTAAATGATAACAAGCACAAGCCAATTGAGCCTTTTGCTCATTCTAACATAATATGTTACTTTAAAAAGCAAAATTGGCCCAATTCAATAATTAAAAATGCCTACTGCCATGTAATAATCAAAATTTGAAAGTGACTTAACATTAAGTCATCTTGCCTTCACATGAGGCCGAATGCTGGCTGCAGTCTCCTCTCTTGCAGAAGCTTCTTGATCAGAATTACATCACTTTTAAGTGACTCCAAGCCAAAAATTTGTATGGTGTCTCACAGGTCGCATTATCAGAAAGTAGCCCTATTTATCTGCTATTCTGGTTTCTCTAGCGAGTCTCTCCATTTTCAGTTCACTAAGAAGTGAGTCACATCTCATACTGTGTCAACTACTTGCACAGAACAAATTTCCATAGAAACCCTACTCAGCTGACTTGAGGTGAAGGACAGTTCACTCCCTCCTACCTTCCAAAGCAATCCACAAGATATTTCAAACAACTCCCCCTCAAAACCTCCAAACTCTCCAGGCTCAAAAATCCTATCCTTATATACTCCCCATGCTGCTGAGTTTTTTTTTTTAACAGGGTTGTGACAATTTTGTATAAAATTTTTCGTTGTGATCTGTTTTACCACTCACTTTGAAATGTAGTGGCATCTATTGCCTCCATAAAGTAGCTGAAATTGGCTTGGAAGAATTTGATGGTAACGTTTTATGTACATATACACAGATATAGGAATAATTGTAGTAAAATAGAGTAAAGCATCTATTGGTTTTAAATAAGACATGTTTTCAATGTTTTATAAATAGTTTTAAAAGCATTAAAAGGCATTGAAAGGTTTGAAAGAAAAAGCATGTTATGCTTTGTGGATTGATACTATATATCCCCTATATTTTCAAGAGCTCTAATTTCACTTTCGCCACTTTCCTTTGTCAGAAATTATGTTTATTTTCAACTTTGATGCATGGAACATTTCAAATTACACGTTTGGAGTGTGTGCATGCACGTGTATCTTCCCCAGAGTCAACAATTGTTACTATTTTACCATACTTTCTTTATCTAGCTTTTCTTTTAAAAACCATTTGAAAGTTTTGTGCAGATTTCTACCAGATTTAGGGTATGGAACATCCTAGAAGTTCTCAGTCTCTCTTTCTCAAACCTCAGCTCTTTGTTAATGTTTTCTAACCAGAAAAGCCTTGCCAAAGACTTGTGTCACTTCCGTAATTTTACAGTTCTGGATATTGGTGCTGCTGCCACGCCTATTACAGTCTTAAGATCCCCATTTCATGAATCACTGTAGGAAGAGGCTCTGTGAGTACTCCTTGGCCAAATGGGACTAAAAAGACTGGCTTTACCAAAAGCTACCTGGAGGTCAGGTGTTACAACCTAGAAATTTGACAGAGTTAAAATTCACAGGACTGACTTTGATAATGGGACACAGGAGTGGAAAACAAGAAGCACATGATAGTTCCTTTTCCTTTCTCTTTTCCCACCTCACAGACAGAAGATTCAGTAGATTAGCAGGCTCTCTGGAAAAGGCTGTGAAGCCTAACAACTATTTGAGAAACTGTGACCAGTTCAAGAACACAGCCTCTAGTAATTTTTCTCCCTCTTTTTCTGCCTTACTTCCCCATTCCTCTCATGCTTGCTTCTCTCAAATTCTTCCCCATGTCCCTTATCAAGTGTTAGCACACGTACATTTTTTCCTCAGGCTCTGCTTTCTTAAAAGTTGATACAGTTGGTACCAAGAATATCAGTCACTATAAAATAGACCCTTGGAGCTGGATTTTGTAGCTGGGTTGCTTTTCACTTGGAATGCAATGGAAATCTTATTGTTCTTGGTAAAAGGAAGAAAATGACCCTGATATGAATGACATCATTATGACATAGATGTGAAAAATATATAGTGAGAGATAAAGAGGCAGCTACTTGTAACTTGTCTGGCACAATTATAATTTCAAAGACATAGGTCTAGTGTGACTTTTTTGATGGCGATGAAAGTCTGCAAAAGACAGCGACAGGTAAATGGCAGCCATTTGTCAACTTAAAGCCATACAGTGAAAACTGGAGGGCTTCTATGGCAGCTTAAAGGAGAGTCACATCTCATTGCTGTCTCAGAACAACTGTACTCCTGGAGTGCTAGCCCCTAGCAGAGACTGAGCAAATGAACATGGGACACCTACTGGCTGTGGGCAGGAACAGCCAATGATCAGCTTGTTCTCAGATGAGTTGAGTCAGATATTTTGCAAGAACAGAAGCAGCAACAATCCATTAAAAAAATAGAAATGGTACACAAAAGAGTCAAACTCAAGCCTGTCCAGATCACATAAAAAAAAAAGATGAATCAGTGGCCTGGATTATCTTGTCACCTACACGTATTGCTCCCTGAACAAACACTGGCCTCTTAAAACATACTCTATGATCAACTGTCCTGGAGGAAAGGACTTGGGCCAGGCTCACAGGTGAATAGATGCAATATGTTGGTACCACCCAAGAAAAGGCTTCTGGTATATTACATCTCCACTCATTGCCACGTAGGGCAGCAGTGAGAGAAAATTCTCCTAATTGCAGAGCTGGCCGCAGTACACGGGGTAATCCAGCTAATACGAAGAGAGAGGTAGCCTGAGGTAGAGATAAGGACTGACTCCTCAGCTATGCTGGATAATTGAGGGAATTTGCCAGAATCATAGAAAAATAACACTAGAAGGTCAGGGAATGTCTCCCTGATACATATGTGTGTTGATAAACATGAAAATGGGAACAACCTATATGATCTTGATGTCTCATTTTAGTGGCCATCAGTGAGCATTTATAAAAGCCTCACAACCAGGTAGACAGGAAGGCCCATCCAATGGACATCAGGCATCATTCCACCTTGGTTATCCATGGAGTAATATATGTATTATCCTACCAATAGAGTCCTCTTCAGCAAGATTGAGGGAGTTGTTTTTACTACTGAATTCCCAAGTATCTGGAATTGGAAACTAATTTTTCCCCTTTGAGACATTCTCAGCAACAACTGCTACTTATCTTGGGACAGGACAGTCACTTTGAATCTCTTCCATTCTGGAGTATATCCTTATTGAAATAAATACCTGATCCACTTTTGGGCTATTCTTCCATGACTTTGAAACACTGAGTAGTATTACCATTAGAAGGTTTTACACAATGACAGACACAGCCATATTATATTCCATAGAATACTGCCTCAGATCAAACGGCATGTTATTGGCAAATGAGATGCAATAATTGACTCACAATATGAGATTTACTGATTTTACCAAGTTATAGTATATCCCAGAAACAGGCATCTTGAACAAATGATGAAATGGCCTGTTGATGGTACAGCTAAGTTTCCAACCCCAGGTAACACTTTGCCTTTTTAGAGTATGGTCATACAGTCTGGGGTATATGAACTCACTCAATAGCGAATGTATAGAGCTATGGGTTTTCAAAAGCAAGAAACCCTAGTTTGAGGATCAAGGAATAAAATTAGCATCGCTTCTTTCTTTTGTCACTTGGTCTCTTTGAAAAGTAAGCTCTGCTAAATTAGAAGATCTGATTCACAAGTGCGGATAGTATATTTCTACCACAAGAAACAGTAAGAATTCTGCTAATTGGAAAATTTCACTACTAACTGACTACTTTTGAAGTTTTCATCCTATTCAGTTATCAGACAATGGTATGAGTAGTAGGAGTGGCTAGAGAAATCAACCCCCACTATCATGAAAAGCTGGTTATCCATGCAAAATTCATCAGAAAAGAGTGTTCCTGGAATCCAATGGACTCACTTGAAACATGATCAGTGATGAATCGAAATGGGGAGCTATAAAAACGGTGGATCTTTAACAGAATTAAGAGTTTGGAATATTTGGGAAAGGATTACTAGAACACTTAGTAGGTAAGCAACCTAGAACATGTGAAGATATGGAGAAATGTGATGAAACTCTGGAATAATTGATAAAGATGGGAATTGAAAAATATCAATTTTATTTCACAGTCAGCTGCAGCATGAAGATAATAGCTTTGTTTGCTGAAATTCCTTGTCTAGTGCAATTTTTGGTGATTGCAACTACCCTTCACCTTGAAAGACTGGATATTCATCTCCCTTCTAAGAAGTGAAAGGGTCTTGATCTCAGGATGTATAGTCACTGTAAAATCATGTGAGATGTCCTTAGTAGCATGAACAATGGATCATACCAGGCCCAAATTATGTACCACATCAGATCAGCTTGGCTCCTCCCACTATACCCCCAACCACCTTCATCCTGGCTGCTTGCCTTGCTTCCTAGTCAGACTGAAGGTTATAAGTTTCCTGACTATTTAGTGGTAAGACCCCAGTTTATATTGCTGGCATTGCTTCCAACAGAGACCAAAGAACCCAATGTGTTCTACATATTGATAGAAGAAATCCATGACCAGGATCTGGATGGACCAGACAAATAGAAAGTTTTGCTTCAGCAAGAGCTGTCTGGTGGGGCCAAGAAACACAACCTGAACAGAGTTAATTCCTTATGGGTTGAATTTTGACCCATAAGATATAAGAGACTAGAGATAGGAAGAAGTAATAGATAGCTTGCCATCTAATGCCCAAAGGGTCTATTC